TCCTGAGATCCTGTACCTCAGATTGTAGAACCTTTGTCAGTGTCAGCCATGTGGATGAGTCACGGCCAATGCTTGGCCAATGTGCTCTCTGTAATCTAACTTCTTAACCTCAATTTTGCATTTAAAGAAAAATTCTTCCTGTTGTCAAAATCAAAGAGTACAGATCAATCAGTGCTTGTCTTCTGCTTACAAATCACAAGGACAGATACTTACATAATGGTCATGATGTATGCCCCAGGCTTAAAATCACAAAATTATACTTAAGTCCTATGCTTAGCATCAATCTTATAAATGAAATCAGTTTTACCATGAAACCTGCTTATTTCAAAATGAAAAAGGGAGTCCCAGCTTGAAATGGCAATAGGACTCCAACTGAGTTGTTTAGATCATTCACTGGCCGTTCATATACCCTGTAGAGCCTGGTCTCTTGTCTTTACTAGTTCTATTCCCATTCCCATCTTCCAGTGCAGGCCCACAGGGCACACACACACACCCAGATACCTCCAGGAACACCACCTGCCTAGCCAGGCCCTGATGTTCTGCATCTTTGAGCCCCTATGGGATTCCACTTTCCCTGAAACATGGGTCACCTGGCCACGACCATGAAACTTATCATTTAACTGACCTAATACAAAACTAAACTCTACTTAAAATGTGTTTTTCAAACTTTCAATAAGCTTTCCCAAATATACACTCTGCTTTTACATTTTCTCTTCTTCAAGGTGCCTAAGAAAATAAAGTACTTGTGACTCCCTCCCTCCCTCCTTCTCTCTTTCCTACCCTCACCCTTCCTCCTTCCCTCCCTTCCTTCCTTCCTTTCCTTCTTTCTTTGTCTTGCTTTACATTCCCATCTCCCTCTCCCTTTCCTTCCTTCTTCCTTTCTTCATTTTCTCTCTTCCTCTTTTCCTATTTTTACTGAATATACCTTACTATATATAACACACAGCAGCATCTTACCATTTTTCATTGTGCAGTTCCAAGAATTCACACCTGAACTACACATGTATGACAAGCACATCCCCAAGCCACTACCACCCCGACCCATCTCCAGAGCTCTCTGTGACATTCTTGTCATTGTCACCTATGGGAAGCAGACACAAAACTGCCAATTTTCTTTTCTTGATAAAAATTCATTTTCAATCCATAGAATTATACAAATTAAAGGGGTACATCTAGGTGTATGTCAATTATACATGAATAAAACTCATCAAAGACAAAGAAGGGTGACACAGTGGGAAACAAAGCCGCCGACAATTGGGTCCCACACTGCAAGGGGCAGGTGTGTGAGAGGGAGATGGAGATTTTGTGAGAGGTCAGGAGGAAACCTGTGACAGCTTAAAGACAGACATACATTCACCACTCATTCATTACCAATATGTTGAGCATCTCTGGTCCACAAGTTTCAGAAACTATACTTTGCCAGCATTAGGGATGGATGAGCAAATGCAGCTATTGTTTTTTGTAAAAAATAAAAAGTTCTAAATTAAGGCAGCAGCATAAAGGATGGAGGCAAAAATTATACAGCATTTTGCTTTTCCCTATTAACAAGGCAAGCATGAATGCACAGATTCTATCATTTTATTCTTATTTAAAAATCATTTAAACTATGACTACTATGGCCTAAATAAATTTTATGTGGCACTTTCAACAAGTGGTAAATGAAATCCATCAGCAACTAGAAATGAATAATGTATTTATTTTCACTGATAATAAGATTACCTTTAGTACTTTTTTTGCAAATGAGAAAATCAACTTTTAACAATCTTTGATATTATAGATCAAACACATTAAAAATATTAAAATAGTATGCAAGTAATATCTTTGTAATCTCAAAGTTTTATTTGAAGTATGTGCTGATGCTGGGGAAATAATTTGGCAATAACAGACACTATCTGAGTCTCTGCTCTACCCATATGGGCTTAGTCAACAGTTTTGGTTTTTTTGGTTTCCAAATTAGTATCTTATAGAAATATGAAATTGAAAATTAGGCACAGAGTGGTGGAGTCTTTTTGAATGTTTCTAACTTCAAAGAGAACATTTTAAACATCCGTTTACAGAAGAACAGTTAACAATTGTTGCTCAGCTATAATAAAAAGAATTAATTTGAGACACTCTGTGGCACTGTCAAGGCCTGAATCCAAATAGAATTTTTCAGACAGATTAAAATTATACTCTTCTCAACTTCAGCCCACTCAAAGTTAAAAAAAAAAAAGGGTCAAGATAGTAGGTGTAAATAACTAAAAAGGGCCCCAAGGGGTTGTCTGGAAAATGAAAAGCATGATCGCTTCACATAGAATGTCTTGATAAGAAGCTGAGACTATCTGCAATTTGTTGAGGGTGAAGAAAACCAGATTCTTAGGAAAACTTCTGAAGCCAAGAGCTACAAGAGTACAAAATGCTGTGAAACTTGGGATGGCATGTAGGAACAGGGATTCCCATAGCCCTTACACTGTCACCTATGATTCCAGTGACATTTAGAGTGAGTCCTATCATGGATGAAAAAATCATGGCAAGGAGAAAGAGGTCAAATATCTTTAAGTGCCAAAAAGGAATTATAAAAGTGCAAACAGGAAGATGATAAGGACCACAGAGTCCACTGCACTAGCATCCTATGTTCTTACCTGGAGCAGGTGAGGTTGAATACCACACCATAAGATATGCATATGCATTATACCTAATTTTTGAACTTATATTGATTTTAACTTCAATACAACGAATAAAATGTCAATCACATAACTGCATTTCTGAAAGTCCTGCTGACTGTTTTCTTCCTAAAAAGATAATACTGATGTGTTTAATAGAAGCAGATATCACGTCACACAAAAGATCTAAATTAAGAATCTTACGGTCAGCTTTGAAAATTTGGTCTACATTTCTTTTGAGCACTTGTAAGACTCCTCTAAGAAATAGGAATGCTCCGAGCTTTTGAGAAGCTTCCATATGTGCTACGATAAGCATTCTCCAAACAGATGCAGCCATCCCCTGAATATGAAGCTGGACAAAGAAGCTGTCCCTTGTGCAGATGAGAAAAATACATGGCTATTTCTTGGGGAGCCCCAGGAAGCTTGAGGAATGGAGAAGAGCTACGTTTCTACCTCATTTACACCTGTGGCTATATCCTTATGCAGTGAAAAACTTGCACAGCTTAGAAAAATCACCCTTTCTATCACTGTGGTTACCAGATGAGTGACATGAGCTTGTTTGACCTTGGTGATTCATTAGGAAAGATTAGACAAGTTGGTAGAGAAGCCATCAGTCACATTTCTAGGAGTTAAGCCACTTGTTTTCAGATCTGAATAGTGTAAGAGACCATCTCAGAAAAAGATCTCCACCTTAATTATTATCTTTGCCAAGAGTTGAGAAGCCAGACCTAACAGAATGAGATATTAAAACACTATAAACAATTAACATAGAGTAACTATCCCTTCCTATTCCCTCATAGAATGACTGCCTAGTTCTCCTCTACTAAATACATTTGGAAACCCACTGATCATGTTGTCCTCAAAGCCATACCTTAGCAGCAAATCATTCTTAAGAAGGAAAAATGAAGTGGCTAGTAGCACCGTAGCAACCATAAAGTGGTTTTCCCATGTTTGCTTGGGATCCATTCTCTAGAAAGCACTTTTATTTTATTTTTACCACCAAGAAAGATGAGAGTGTCTGCTAGTGGACACTAGCCACTGCTGATCTCAAACTACTCTTGGGAAAGAAGGGTGTGGGTGACATCCTACTGCAGCCAGGAACATAAAGGCAGAAGCAGGGGAAGAGGCACCCATGAATCAGGAGGGAGAAGGAGAGTGCGATAGTGAGGCATGGCAGGCAGGAAAGAAGGCTGCACCTTGGCTTTGGTGACTGATTATGTGGCTCAAGCCCCAGAGCACACAGCTGGCTCCCAAGGAGGACACACACAAGTGCAGTTTGCCTAATGATCCATTTTTGGAATGCCCATAGCAGTGAAACATGATGAATTGTGTTCTCTTAAAATTTTTATTCCTTGCATTTTTCTAGGTAACATGTATGAATTTCATGCAAAAATTAAAAAGATATTTAATCTTTGGTATAAATGGGTTAATAAGTTGTAGCAGCATCTTTTCATAATTTCAAATTAACATAACCTTTCCTTGAGACAACTTTACTTAAAAATGCCTCCCTTGGGATAGAAAGTACCCCTTCCTTACCTCAATGATGTAGAGGACCACGTTCTTATAAAAACAGTACAATATGCATTTGGTCACCCGGTTGTAGCTCCAGGCTCCGTGAACCAAGAGGAGCTTCTCCAAGTAGGAAAACTGAAAGAAGAGAACACAATCAGAGCTTGTTCTTAAGGACTGAAAGTCACAAAACATCCTCATGAGCAGAAAACAGATAAGGAAGGGGAAACCAGATTCTCAAGGGCACCTCACAAAATCATTCCCTGGAATCTCCTAATTCTACCCAAGATGCTGCCAGACTTCTCAGGGCAACACCATTGGCATTTTACTGAAGCTAATGCTTCCTATGGTCTTAATTATTAAAAATTACAACTTGAATTGGAAGAAAAGTAGAGTGGGAATCAGCTGTCTCTTCATAGTTCAGTCACAGAGTTTCATAGTGACAACTGGGGCAGGACACTCATATAACAGTGCATTTAGAAAAAGGTACACAAGTGTATACACAAACTGTCTCACTGTCAACCTGCAAGTTAAAAATATTTACACATAAGTACACAGATAGGCATATGGAGACAGAGGCACACAAACACAATCATGGACACACACATTGACACCAACACATGCATACACAGATGTTCATATACATAGATGTACATAGACACAAAGGCACAACACACCAAAACTGCCTCCGCTTGCACATCCACTTTGCTCTCTCCTTTTTGCCTCCAACTGTCTGCCTTGCCAGAGCACAGTGCACTCTAGGAACATACCATGAGGAGAAATTTCGTTTCAATTCCTAACCTCTATACATGCAAACTGTCTGGTACTAGGCTGTGATCCTTTCCGCTCCTGCTGTGCCGGGACAGTCTGTTTTCCAGGGCTTACCGTGCTAGACACTCAGTCTCAGGATGAGGACTTTCATGAAATGAGCCTACTGGGAGGCATTGGAGTCCTTAAGGGAGCTGTCTGCAGGACGTTGGTCTCATGGAACCATAGTTACTTCCTTCAGGAGGTTCCTGGCTCCACCTGCTCTTCACCTTAGGGTTTCAACTCATCCTCCCTCCTCCCAGGAGCTCCACCATGATGGCATCTGTTCTCCATGTTGCACTGCAGCTAGCAGGCACTCACCTTAGCCAGTTGCTTGGAGTGAAAAATCTTAATTCTTCCACTCAGAGACCCAGCATCACTGCCTCTGGGCAGTCTACAAACTAACCCCTTAAGCTACCAGGGAAGAGAATTAGGCTTGTTTGAGAACTTCTTAGAACACTAGAAATTCCTTTGCTGTTCTCTATTTCCTATTAATTTTGTTTTGTTATTTTATGCAAAAAATAAGATAAAATTTCATAACAAAATAATAGACTAGCTATAGTTAATACATTGCATATGGTTATCTTCAAAGTAATTACTCAGAACTTAAGATATGGGCAACACATTTCTCTAAACGATATTAGCACAAACCTGTGTTTTCAGTAAACTGTAAGAAATTAGTAGTACCACCATTTTGTATTATTTTTCCTTTTCTCTTCTTTTCCTCTTCACCCACCCTAGTTCCTCTTTCCTTTTGAAAAATTTCTTCCCATTTCACAATATCTATTGTACATTTTCGATCTTATTTACTCTTTCAGCTTCTCATATCAGACAGACAACACGATGTTTACACATGTGAGTCTGATTTATTTCACTTATGAGTATAGTCTCAAATTGCATCCATTTACTTATAAATGTCTTGAGTTTGTCTTTCTTTATGGTTGAGTAGTCGTCTGTTGTATAAAAACACCACAACTTTTTTATCCATTCTTCAGTTGATGGGCATTTGGGTTGTTTCCAAGATTTAGCTATTACAAACTATGCTTCTATAAACATGGGTGCACATATATCACTGTGGGAGGATGTTTTCAATTCTTCTGGAAAGGTACTCAGGAAAAGAATAGCTGGGTTGAATATCACCTCTAATCCTGGTTTTTTGAGGACTCTCCACACTGATTTCCTCAGTGGTTGCACCGGTCTAAACTCCCACCAACAGCAGAAAAGGGTTGCTTTCTTCCCCCACAGCCCCTCCAGCACTGTTAATGGTTGATTTTTTGATGACACCCATTCTTTCCAGGATGAAATGGAATCTCAGTGTTGTTTTGATTTGCATTTCCCAAATGACCAATGATATTGAACATTTTTTCATTAATTTGTTTTCTATTTGAATTTCTTCATCTGAGAAATTTGTATTCATCTCAGAAGCCCATTTTTGGTTTGCATCTTTGAATTGGGGGGTGATTGTTTCAATTCTTTGTATTTTCCAGATATATTAGTACTCTGTCAGAGGGACAACTGTCTAAAATATTTTTCCACTCTGTGGGTTGGCTTCTCACTATGTTGATGATTTCATTTGCTGTGCAAAAGCTTTTTACTAAGATGAGATTCCAGTTGTTGATTCTCTGTAATATTTCCCATACGGCCTTTGTTTTGTTTATAAAGTCTTTGCCTATACCTATATCTTCAAGATTTATACCTCTTTTCTTTTCCAGTAGATTTAATATTTTCTCTTTCAATATTTAGCTATTTGATCCATTTTGATTTTAGATTAGTACATGGGGCTAGTTTTAGTCTTCAGCTTTTAGATAACTTTTGGAATTAAATCCAACTATCTATAGAAAAAAAGCACCCTGAGTGGAAATAAAATACTTTAAAATTTTTCAAAAGGAGACTCCATGTTGGCTTCCATTAGAACTAAAGGAGATGAGCTCCTGGGTAAAGTCACTTTTCAAAGGCAGAGACACTCATCTATGCACTTGCGATCAGAAGGGACAACTTCAAAGTGGCAGAAGTAGGTGTGGATGGAAGAATAAAATTCCCCATAAATGCTTATTAAGTATTCTAATGGGAAATGAGGAAATCATAAAATAACTAACTAAACAAATAACAAGGAAGTTTGCGTTTGACCCGTACCCCCTGGCGTTAAATTTCAATGGGCGTGAGAACATCTGCTCAAGTCATCCTGAAGGCTTCAACCTGAGTGTTATGATGATTTGTTTTCAGGGAAAAAGTCTATATCCTAAATCAAAATGCTGTCTTCATGAGGTCATTCAAAAGACATTAAGGAGGCAGGGGGCAGGAATGATTCTCTCTGGAGTAGGACAGGAAGCTGAGGCTGCAGGCAGAATACTACACCATGGCAGCCAAGGCCGCACAAGGACAGGCAGCTATGCAGATGAGGTTGTCAGTCCCCATGACCCCGTGCAGAAAAGCATATGGCAAGCAGGAGAGAAACAGAACCAGAGCTCCATCTACTACACAGCTATCCCAGGGCAAACTTCAGAGCTAAACATGTTTTGTCTGCTATATATCACTTTACAGGGTATATCCTCAAAAACCCAATATGAATGTACTTGCCCCCATCTAAATGAGCAGACAAAACACACAATATTAACTTTAACCAGAGATACTTATCATTTGAACGGGGACAAAGAGATTCCTCTGACTATGTTATTTCTGATGTAGTAAATAAGGAGTAAGTAGCACAGTAGTGGGTGAAGAGGTGGTAAGATGGGCACAAACTCAGCTCTGAGATAACAGCATGCCAGGCTAATCACAAACAGGATGAAGGACCTAAGAAACATGGACCCACAGACACAGGTAGCCACATCCATTCTTTTAGCAGAGGTGGCCATTAACCTGAAGGGAAGAACGGCCCAAATGGAGTTATAAAGCCCTCCAAGGGCTCTTCTACTCTGACACTTTCAAGGTGAGTAGCATGACTGCTGCAGATCCCACATCCTATTAGTATGCAGTTTCAATAAAGTGAGTCATGGAATCTCCCTTCCCCGGACATTTTAAAGAAATAAAGAAAAAACAAGAAGAAGAAAAAAAAAAAAAAACAGACAAATATTTGCCTGGAATGCCTAGGAAACCTCTTAAGATCTCTCCCAGTCATATGATGTTATAACTCAGGTATTTAATAACGCTGGGATGTATAACATGTATAGTTGCTGACAGCATGCAGGAAGCATAAGTCTCATGGGGCTCTAAGCAGCTGACCCAAGAAGGTAATTGGGCAGGTGTATAGGGCAGCCCAGTGTCAAACTTTCTCTGACCTTGACTGTACCCAGTCCTGAGGACGGTTACCTGATATAAAGAAACTTTGGTTTTACCAACTGTAAAATCAGAATATTTTATCTGCTCTAGGAATTCTCCTTAAGATTTATTTGAACAAAGGAGCAATATTGGTTTTGTGCACTTTTCAGAACTATATGGATTTTTTTAATTCCTCCCTGTGGCTCAGAATATGGAGCTAGGAGGGAACTTGAGAGGTAATGTAACACAGAGCCCTCCTTCAGGGAGGTAGAGGTGTGAACCTGCAGAGTACCATTCCATAAGCCCTTGGGCTGCAGGAAGTTTGTTCACATTCTAGATACAGACCGTGATTTCAGCCCGGTTGTGTATATGTGATTAAGATTAAGCCATTCTTTAAAAACTTTAAGTCTCAAAAGAGGTGGAAGGTCTTACTAACCGGTAAAGGTGAAGATATTGAGTCACAACTCACTGAAATCTGAAGCCAGGAGATAGGAATGTCTAGTGATCTGGATGACCAGCAGCCCAGGTTACCTAGATGTGAGCCTCTGGGGTCAGGATCTGGCTCTGATCCTTCACCTCTGAGTCGTCATTAAGGAACCGGCAGGTCTTTCATCCTCAGGCCACCTGTGCAAGCTCCACAAAGTGTGTCAGGAGTTTCTGCACATGACTCAGTTCACGTAGGAATGGCATAAACTTGGCTGAACAGCAGGGGTTTGTTCGCTACTGACCATGAGGTCACCATGGCCTGACTCTGGCTCATGTGTGTAGCAAGTCACCTCACAACAGTGGTCCTGGGCAGCGCCACAGTCACAGCTGCTGAGCGGGGTTGTATATCATTGTTTTTCCCTGACTTGAAAACCTGGCAAGTGTATGCTAGCACCTTCAGGCAGGGGTGGTGGTGCCAGGAGGTGATGGCATAGAATGGCTGTTAACAGCACAGCTGTCCTGCAGCAGGGAACATGTACGAGTTGCCCATGCAATGAAAGAAGGAGTGGAGGGTGAGAGCAAATACTAGCAGAATAAGGGACCTCTTTGCCAGCAAAAGTACAGTGCCTAGGTGATAGGTAAGCAAAGTAGCCCTGTGGCTGACCAGAAGAAACTAAACCAGCAGACAAGGCAGGTCTCTGTGGAGACCACGAAGATCAAAACAACATAGAAATCTATATGGATCAGCCGTTTCATCTAGACATGACCTCAACAAGGTGGTGAAGTCCTTGGGGCTGGACTGTAGGTTAAGCAGCACTACCACTGCCATCAGCAAGACCAGACACTTGATCACCCACATCACTGACCTGGGCAATGGCATAATCCGAGTTGTTGGTGGCTTGCATGCCTTCATTGCCACTGATCCCTACTCCCACGTGAGCAGTCTGGATCATCCCGACGTCATTGGCACCGTCCCCAATGGCAAGAGTAATAGCCTTCACCCGCTTCTTCACCACGTCCACTATCTCAGACTTCTGCAGAGGAGACACTCTGTGAGAAAAGAAAGAAATGACGATGACGTGTGTCTTCCTAAATGAGACAGCTGTAATCAACATTCATCTGCTACAAGGGCAGTTGCTGGACAGTCTCCAGATCCAATATATTTGTTTTATGCTCAGCAAAGAAGCTTTTAGAAAACGGTGGCTGTGGCTTTTTTAGTGTTTGCCAACTTCACAGATGAAATACACATCTGAAAACTAACTTAGAACAAGGCTATTTGCCATTGCACTGCTCAGTGGGAGCGTGGGAGCAAGCCCTTCAGAGGGACATGTGCCTTCAGAACCATACAACTGGTTAAGATAGTTACAGGGGTCTTCAGAAATGCCTTCCCAATACATTAGAGTGTTAGCACAGACCCCAACAGTCCTTTGCTGCGTATCATAAACAGCCTAAGGCTGGCAATTAATTTTGTGTCAGATCTGCTTTTATGGAAGGAAAGGAAATTGGTGAAACCTGAGAAAGGACAACAATAAGGCCAGAGAAAGAGGAAAGAAGAAAGACTTCCATCTGCATCCAGCAGTAGAGAGGTGTTTGAAGGGCAACCAGGGCGGAAGGACTTAGGATCAGGAGTTCCAGCTGTACATCCAGAATAGCTGTACTCTGCAGAAGCAAAGCCCAAACAGGGAAAAGTAGCCCATATCTAAAGGGGCTATCTCCACCAGGGATTGAAAGAAGCAGTATGATTTTCATGATTCCTCCAGCTATTTGAGAAGAAGGTCTCAAAGGCTTAATCTGTGCATCTAACATGCATCAATATTAATTAAAATGAAGTGCTTAATCAGAGTGTGAAAATAAACTATCTAACAGCATGAAAAAATATTCGTGTCCTGGGACTGATTTATTTTAAATTCTGAGTTGGTACACCGATATCTGATTTGGGAAATTTGCAAGAAACCTCTAAATCAGTTACATGTGCACATCCACAAGGTGGGGGAGCAACTTTTTCCAGTTTCCCAGAGGTATGCTAACTGCACTTGAATGTGGACTATACTTGTAACTTATCATGTACAACAATATGCCCAGCGAGAACTATGACAGTTCATATGGCATCCACCCACCAAGATATCCACTCCCAATAGAAAATTTCAGTACTACCCTTCATTTCATTTTTCCAATCTGGAAAGCACTGTGGTGAGACAGTAGATTAAATGCAGCACAGTTGTCACTATGCTCAGTGACTAAGATATTGTAATTAGAAAAACAATCTTAGGAGTTTAAAGAGAGTTAGAAAGGAGGTTGTGCAATTCAGCATTCCTTTTATCAATTTCACAAGGGTTGGCTATAGCAGGAATTCAGTGTCCCCTCGAGTAGTTGTGACCACTACAAGTTGTTATTTTCTCCTTTGCTATTTTCAGACATACTTAAATATACCAATTCTACCCTTTGAGCTAGACCAGGATAAGTAAATTTGCGTACTTTTGGAAGGCTTAAATATGAAGACACCTATTATATTTTTCTTTTTCAAGCTCAGTTTCTACTAAAGACTTCCAGTTTCTTCAAGAATTATATAATAGGCATATTTCAGAAATTAAAAGAAGCTGTAAGCAAAACAGTGGACCTTCGACTGACTTTCCTGCAGTCTAAAATGAAGTCCTGGACAGCTCTGTTGTTTATCCCAACACTAGTCACATTGGCCTTTTTAACAGAAGGAATATGAAGCTGTATTGATTCCCTCCGAGCTTGTGCAACTATCCTTTGGACCCAAGGGCTGATCTTTTCGGCAGAGATGGAGCGCAATTCCCATTCATTTTGACTCAATAGAATCAGGAATCAAATATTTGGGCAGCAAATAACCCAGGAATCAGACTTAAACATCTGACTGAGACTTTTCCTAGTCTTCACCTAACCATGAAGCAGAAAAGAGATCCTGAGTGTTTTCCTTACTGGAATGAGGGAAATGAGAAGCACCTACCACTGGAGATAGTCTTGATGTATCAATGTGAAATCACCATGTGAACTACCAAGGTGGAGCAGCAGTTGTCTCCCATGCCAGCTAGCACAGTTACCTGCAAAGTCTTAGCAGGTAAAACAAAATGCACTTCTGGGAATTTCCTAGCATCTGACTCAGGCTTCCGTGTGTGTGTGTGTGTGTGTGTGTGTGTGTGTGTGTGTGTGTGTAGGTACTTTGGGGGTGCTGCAGCAGCAGAAAATTTTAAGGGAAATACAGAAGCATAATGTCTCCTGGATAGTAGTGCAAATATTACCAAGAAGTAAAACTGAAAAATTCAACATTGCACAATGGTACATTTTTTTGTGATAAATCTTCATGAAAATGAGTTCTGGGGCCGGGGAAATGGCTCACTGGAATAAGTGCTTCCCTGGCAAGCACAAGGGCCTGACTTCAATCCCCAGTTCTGAAAAAAAAAGAGTTCTTTTGGTTTCAATGATGAGAACCAAATACTTTGTAAAAGTCAGTGCAGAATAGGGAATGAGAGAGGAGGCATCTTGTGCTACGTGAAGTCTGGGGAGCTGTGTAGTGCTTAATAGGCCCACCACATAGCACTGGAAAGTGGTTGTAACTATTTAAGAATGGAGGAAATAAATACTTTTCCTTTTAATGCACTGCTGTCTACCAAGTGGTTAGATCATGAATACTTAAATTATTTGGTCTTTCCTACTTCAGAATTTGAAATGGTTCTTTTAGCCTATGAGTTTCAGGAATTATTGGAGACACTCAGGACAATGGTATAGGAAAATCTGGAAGCTTCCACAGGAATCACTTCTCTCCCTGACTATATCAGTCACCCTTTAAGAATGCTCATTCCCTCACTCAGGTGGAATGTCTCCTCAGGAGGCTGTCATGCAGCTTCCTACTTTCTTCTGCACTCAGGAAGATAACACAAAAGAACAGGGAACAGAAACTTGTGCAGCTCTATGAAGCCTTTCGCTGCAGCTTCTCAATAGATACACCACCAAACCAAGCATCTTGGTCTCTTCCTGGCAATCCTGAGATGGTGTGGACGGAAAAGATTCCCCTGGGAAGGAAGCTTGGCACTTCACATAGAAGGGGACTGAAAAAATCTTGGAGGTGGAACAAGGAAGGAACTACACAGCTAAGTGTGCTCTTATTGTGATAGTTGTTGGTTTTCTTTAGAGGCTACTATAGCTCAGATTTGATGTGTTCCACACAAGACCATGTGGTAAGGCCTTAGAGACCAGAATGGAGCTATTTTGAAGTGATGGATCCTTTAAGAGGTTTTTGGCCCTTAAGAGGTCACTGGGGCTTTGCTCTCCAGAGACAAAGGCATCTCTTCCTCTCATTTTTTGCTTTCCAGTGCTGAGATGAGTAGCTTTGGTCAGCTATGTACTCCCTGTTATGTCCTGTCTTGTCATGGGCCTCTAATAACATAATCAACCCACCACGGGCTGAAACCATCAAAACTGTGAGCCAAAATAAAGCCCTTCCTCCTAACAACTTGAGTATCTCAGTATTTTGTTACAGTAGAAAGCAAGCTGGCCAACAGAGGTTAGTGAAAGCCAACCAACAGGAAAGGAGCTAGAAGTCAAACAAATTCCCTAAGTTTACCCTTCTGGGATTTGGATATCAAATAAGCCAGTGTTTCTGATAGCTGAGAGCTCTCTTGTTGAGTATCTAACAGCTTCCTTTTTTCAAAGAGCAAAAGTAAGGGTTAAATAAAATGAGTCTGATGCCAGCATTTTAGAAGCATGGATTTATTATGCCCTCATCTGTAATGCCTTGAGAAAACACAATTCTGGCACACACACACACACACACACACACACACACACACACACACTAAAAGTTCAAATTAGATTTCAAATGGCTAATTTCTGCAGAACTGAAAAGGCACATATATACGCTTTAGCCGTATGTGTTATTTTAGTAGGCCACGTCTCAACAAAGCACCAAGTGGCTTTCTCAATCTTCATTTGTGACCGGGAATGACATGCCACACCTAATAAGTATTCCCATTGTATAATGCTTTTATCTCATAAAATAAGAACTCCTGACCACATCTGAGCTGAGTGAGGTGCAAAACCTATGACTATAATTTATCTGGACATATTATAAATAAAAATGCCAAAGCAAAGAATTCAAACAACTGGAGGAGTAGTCTCTCCATTTTACTGGCTAACAAAATAGATTCTAAAATGAGAAATATTTGTTATGTGATTTAAAAAATCTCCATATCCAGAGGGACCTCATTTTATGGGATATGTGTTCCTAACATTTAAAAACTACCTTTAAATTTATTTCAAATAAAACTTTATTTCAATAAAACCATGGGTGACTGCAGGCATATCTCTTCTGCTTCTGGGATCCCAAGGGATACATCTGTGTGCCACCTCTCCCAAGAGAGGTCAAATATCAGAAGCCACCAGGAAGAACCACCAAAAAGAAGCTAATGAAAGAGAACCAAAGAGATGTGGTAAAGTACTTGAAAGGTACCTCTGCAATTATGGTGGTGCAAAACCTGTAATCTCAGTGCTTGAGAGGCTGAGGGAGGGGTATCACCATAAGTTTGAGACCAGCCTGAGCTACATAGTCAGTTAAAAGCCAGCCTGAGCTACATTGTGAGATCTTGCCTCAAAAAAAAGACAAGGTGCCATGGAGGAAGTGTACACAGTAAAAAGAGAGCATGGGACAGTGGAGTGAGGAGAACAGATTCTGCTGAAGAGACCGAGAAAGCCTCTGATGATGTCTGCTGAATGAATGTCCACAACTGCAAAGAAGAGAAAGGAGAAGTCTGAAGTATTGAAGGATTAAGAAAAGTATATGAAGATGATCCAAAATGTAGAAACATGGTAGTTGTATAAAAAAGAAGGAAACGAGGGTAGAGTACAGAACAAGTCATAGATAAAAATGTCTAAAGACCTAAAAGAAAAAAAAAAAGCCATAGGCAAGTGCCTTTATAAAATTAGTAGTCATTTATTACTTTATCTGATATGCAAAAGCCTGACGCCTGAATGAGTTTTTCTGTTCCGATCTTGCAACACATTGTGAGCAAACTTAAGTGAATTCCTTACCT